TACACCTAAATTTTAAAATTGTATTTAGAATACCAGCAACTATACAACTAGTAACTTTAGAGTTGTAAATGCTTGCCCTGTGAGTATAAATGCTTGCCTCGGTTTGGCTCAGTGTTGGCCCGGGTTCAATTCCGGTCAAGGGCACATACCCGGTTTGCAGTTTTGATCCCCAGTAGGGGGCGTGCAGGAGGCAGCTGATCAATGATTCTCATCACTGATGTTTCAATCTCCCTCTTCCTTCCTCTCTGAAATCAATAAAAATATTATTTTTAAAAAAGTTGCAAATGCTTGATAAATATGCAGTATTGGGAAACTATAGATTGCTTTGGAAGGTCTCCATAAGAGGTCAAGTTTACAGTAAAGATACTTGCTCCTTATATACCTAAAAAAGGTGGTGGTGGGGAGCTTATTGAGGTGAAACTTTCTAATCTTTTCCCTCAGAACTTCCATATATTTTAATAATTTCTCTGGCTATTTTTCCACTTCTAGAACCTCCTAAGTATTCCAATTCTCAGCTATGATTTCCTATTTTCACTGGCTTCTAATCTCCACAATATAGTTGGAAGCACTTAAGACAAAACACTCTTTAGGATATCAAGTTGCAGAAGACTACAGTTTCAAAGATATTTATTATATATAGTAGTGCTGCCACCTAAAGATGAGGTGAATAAAGAAGCAAATCAAAGGAAATGACCAATTATTTTTAAACCTGTCTCAAACATTTTTTCACTCTAACTAGGCACTAATGAACATTATGTTGTTAGGTTGGGAGTTGAACTGTTTCACAATAACTTAGTGCTGAGCTGCAATTTTCTATGGCAGAAAATTTCAAGCTCAAATTTCAAATCTTTTAGATGTCTTCTATGATTTGGAGTCTCCAAGAATATCTCCCAAATTTATTTCTTTCAGACATTAGGCACTGTCTACCATACAGGGAGGGGGGGGTGGAAGTAAACATTTGAGGGATTTCCAATTTAGTGACTAAAGTGGGGGAATATATATATATATATATATATATATATATATATATATATATATATATATATATATATATATATAATGTTTCCCTCTATCACTGACAGACTTCTTGCAACTGTGAACTAATACCTATTTCTTGTAATTCAATTTTCTTGTCTATAAAATGGGATTAATTTCACTTTGCTCCTACTTACCTCGCAGGTTAGATAAGCTTATTGGAAAAATAAGCTCATTGACTTCCCTGAAATTGAAAGGATAAAGATGGTGAAAGCGGTTTTTTTAAATTATTATTTTGTAACCCATAATTTGTAACAGATCCACTTTCAATATTACGCAGTGTTGCAGAATGGAGATGGGACCAGCATACAAAGCCAGGGGGGAAAAAGTTGCCGTGCACCAAAAAAAATCTTGTGAAACTTGGTGAGATTTCAAGACAAGTCTTAAAAGGGACATTTTCTAGTGGTGCATTTCAATCTCTGCATAGCAAATCTAGGTACATGATCTCGCCCCTTTTGCTTCCTCCCTCCCGGCCCAAGGACGCATACATAATAACATTTATCAGAGTTTTGTCCTTAGTCGCAGTCCCTCAAAGGGGCCGTTTCACCTACACTGCGTGGGAGGCTGGGCAGCGAACCCCACACTTCCTGTCAAGGATTCCTGGGGCTGCAGCCCGAGCGCGGTCCAGCCGCCGTCCTCGATGCTAATCCCGCCCTTCTAGCCCCTCCGGACCGACCGGCGTTGGAAGGCCAAGGTGAGACCCTCCCGGGAGATAAAAGGCCCTTTGCCTCCCGAGAGATGAGGGCGGAACGAGGGCCGGAGGGGGGCGGAGAGGGGCGGGGGGAGGGTGACGCGCGAGGAGCAGCTCCAACTATGACTCTGAGGGCCCTAAATCGGGGCTGACGCAGGCCCTGAAGGGCTCTATTCCCGCCGGAGCCCGGCTCCGGCTTTCAAAGCCCGAGAAGGGCCACGTCCTCCCGAGGCCGCTGCGGGCGGCGGGCGGAGGAAGTGCGGGCCCGGAGGCCGCGGGCAGCCCCCTCCTCAGGCGCGCCTCAAGGCCTGGGCCGCTGACTGTTGACGCGCCAACGGCGGGGGGCGCGCGCACGCGCAGGACGGGGGCGGAGGGAGCGCGCTCCGCGGCCGCCGCCGCCGCAGCACTGAATCGGAGGGACGTGAGGGCGGAGGGCGAGAGCCACGGCGGGGGGGAGGGGAGGGATGGTGGGTAGCGCGCGGGGCGCGCGCTGACGTCGCCCGGAGTCACGCACGGAGCGCCGGGTTACGCGCCGACGTCTGGCTGCCACGACTTGCCGTCTGCGGCGGCGGCGGCGGCGGCAGCGGCGAGCGGATCCCGCAGGGGAAGGAGGAGGAGGAGGAGGAGGAGGGAGAGCCGAGGGGGCTGCGAGTGAGCGGGAGAAGAAGGGTGTGAGCGGAGCCAGCCCGCGGGAGGGAGAGCAAGCGAGAGAGCCGCCGAGCCAGCCTTCCGAGTCGCCTCCTCCTCCTCCCCTCGGCGTCCCGCCCCCGCCTGCCAGCCCGCCCTCCCTCCTCCCTCCTCGGGCGGCGGAGCTCCGGGGAGGCGCAGCCCGGCTCGCGCCGCTGTCCAGGACAGGTGTGCGCGCGCGCGCCCTCCGCTCCCCCTGCCTCGCGCCTGCCTGGCGCGCGCCCTCCCTCACCTGCGGCAGGACAGCGCCCGCCGGCCCGCCCGCCCGGGTAAGCCCCTCGCGACCTCTCTCCCCCGCTGCGGCCGCCAGAGCCCGAGCTCACCCCGACCCTCCGATCGCCCTCTTACCCCCGGGAACAATTCCTGCCCGGTAGCTGACATCCCCGCACCCTCCCTCGGGAGACCCCGGCAGTGCAGCAACGTCCCCCCCCCCTCACCTCCCCCGTAGCGCAAGAACGAACACTTGCAAAAAACGAGCAAAATAACACGCCCCTTAAAGAAAAAAAAAAACAATCCTACCTCCGCAGGCACCGGGGACCACCAGTGGTGCCGTTTGCTTAGCCATCCCTAAGCCCTGTGTTTCCTTGGCCACCTTCGCCCGGGGCCTGGGACAGTGCGCCAAACGTGGCCGGCACTCCCTGCACAGAAACCCTGGCAGAGGGGGAGAGGGAGGAGGGTTCTAGGCTCCACTACCAACCCCTTCTCTCCTGTGTCAACCTCCCCCTCCCCCACCCCACCCAGTAATGCCTACACCCGCCCGGGATTCGTTGTAAAAATGAAAAAAATAATAACATTGATGCCCTGGCGTCGCAGATGAAAAGCCAGGCCCAAGGATGGGTGGCCCGGGCGAGGCATTTTTGCTGCCCCAGGGCTCTAGGTCAGCCAGGCAGCCTTCTCTGGCCTTTGATGGGGGCAAAAGGAAAGGTTGTGAGGCCGGAGGGGGCTTCCCTCTGAGCAACAGTGGACTCCAGAGGCGAGTGAGACGTGTGTAGGGGAAAGGACCAAGGGACCTGCCACCCCCACAGAATATATCTGCCTTGAGCCTGAACTTGGATAGAGAAAGGCCCAAGAGTCCAACTGGGGCAACTTTCTCTGGTTCGTTGTTGTCTACCCCTGAATAAATGCCACCTTAATTTCGCTTCTCTGCGGACCCTCTTGAGGGTTCTAATTCGTTCTTATTTGGGCCCCTCACGTTTCTGTCTGACCAAGCGCTTTGGGGCGGCTTTTCGCAGCGGTGTCTGTGTTTGTGTCTCGTGTCCTTGGAAGGGAGGTTCTAGTGCTTTACGATAGGTGCAATTCTGTTTGACAGCTTTTGGTAGACTGTCAGAGAAGAAAAGGGATCTTTTTTATTACCCCAAGACCCCCCACTGTTTCCCTCCCAAATTTCGGCTTTGAAAATTGAAGTGTCGATTAGTGTGTGGAGGGAGTTGTTGACTTCATTTTTTTGGGTACTAGTAAAACCATTTAAGTATCTTCCGGAAGAGAGAGATCTATTGACCTTTGCATTGGTTCTGTTTGGACCTGTTGGGTACATAAAATGCCAGTTTTCTGAAAAATTTTGTCTAATTTAGAATGTGTGGTACGTTTATTTAACTCTTCTGAGAATGCTTGAAATGAAAACATTTTGTGAAAGGCGAGGATTCTATTACATGGATTGTTCTCTTCAGATTTTAAATTTTAAATTCATATCTTTAACCTTACGCATTAAAATAACATTGAAGAGGCATAATATTAAAGTTCAGATGAGCTCTAGAAAGGGATGCGCATTTAAAAAAATAATAGGTGAAATAATATTACTATTAGCCTTTGTTGTTGTTGTTAAATGTTGAGATCTACTTGAGAGCCTCCCATAATTTTTCTGGTAGATAGCCATGAGAAGTGGGTAATTTCTCCACTTTGAACACTTGCAGTACAACATTCCAGTTTTAATTATTTGGATATTGAAGATAATTGTCTACTTTAAGACAGGCATTTAACCTAAGCAGCACTTGAAAACATGTTTTAGTATTCTTGTTCTCTTTTAGAAATTGTGATTTTGTGAAATTTTAATCATATATTATTTCTATTGGAAACTCTATAATCAAAAGGGCTTACTACCCAAAAGTAGATCCCCTCTCTCCAAGTTTATTTTATAAACATGTACTAATTTTTACTTTTAAAAAGCAAAGCTGGATTAGGTTATTTCAGAATCACCCATAGTTCAGGCTGAGGGAAATTGAGGCTCTTTTTCTTTTTTTTGTTTTGCCTAATGTCTGTTTTACCTGCAAACAATTTTTTGTTGGTAAGAGTTTGTTAAAGACAGGTGATGGGGTTAAAAATAAAGCAATCTATTCTCTTCAAAATGTATGTTAGTGTTACTAAAAGCACAACAAATCTAGAGGCATTTATCATTTAAATATAAGCATACTTTGAAAAAGGGAATCTTTAATAATTTTTTCATTAACACATATTTTGTTGCATATTAGTATCATATATTTCGTTTTCCTTTCTATTTCCTACATTGTATTGAAATTATTAATTTAATTTTATAACTATTTATTTTAAAATTACATATTTAAACAGCTAGACACTAAAACTGGCTTTTAATTTACCAACCTAGTATGTTGTTTAGATAATTAACAAATGGTTAGAAGTCATTTTAAATCCACAAATTTTCTAATGGATTTTCAATGTTAGGATACAAATATAACTTTGAAATTCTACTTAAGGTTCAAACTTTTTGTTTTAAGACTTCCTCTGAGTCACTATTATTCTTTTCAGATTACCTTTTTAAGGCTACTATATTCTATAACCTAAGGAAAGCTACCTTTTACCACCCTCCCAATCTGACCAAAAGTCCAGATTTATAGGCTTATCCTAAAATTAACTCTCTTGTTTGAGCAGTGAAAAAATGTACTGAATATCAAATTTTTCATTGAATTGTTTTGAAAAAGACTTTATTCTCGTTTGCTTTTTAGATACCTTTAAAAAGTAGGTAAGAAGCTGGTTTATAATAGCGGAAATTTTATACATGTAGAATAAATAGCATAAAATAAGTAAGTACATATTTATGTGGAGAGATCAAGGTTTCAGTTGTTTGATTATTTGAGCTTAATATTCCCAGTTTAATCATGCAAATGATATTTAATTTATGTTTTGTCTAGAAACGTCATCACTTACTTCTGTACTGGGGAACTGAGAACTCGGTTCCTGGATACGCTTTTTTCAGAAAATCAGAACATCCAAACTAAAATTTCTTCAGAACCCCTAAGCATAATCGTTTGGGACAGGGCAAGAAATTTAGACTCCAAAGGTGGTCCTAGAAGGCGGATGGCTTAAAGCCCTAATTTTCTGCCCTGGGGAAGTGATCATTAGCACCAAAGAAGTCTGGGGCGGCTGGCGGCTGCTGCGTGCCCCCCGCATCGCAATCCCATTGGCCTTGTCGCTGCCTTGCGCTCTTCTGAGCGGGCAAGAGCTGGGTGTAGCGCAAGATAAAAACCCCTGAGGAAGAGCAGCGACTCTTCTAGCTCGGACTTCACCAGATCTTACCCTCAGCTTACAAGTGGTACCAGAATGCCCCTGCTCCGCTGGGTTCTGTAAGGAGACCCTGCCACTCAGCCTTTGCGTCCCTGTTTGGGGCTGGGGTCTATCCAGGGTCCTGATCGCTACTGTGGGAGCCTGGAGAAGCCTCCGCTGCGCTAAACGTTTTTCTGTGTGGCTCAAAGTGCGCTTACAGTTCCTACGTCCCCTTCCCCCTTCCCGACAGGGGAGGGAGTGCAGGAAAATCAGCACTGAAAGGGGACCGTGTGGTACTGGAGGATGCACCCTCAAACTAAGGGGAAGTTCTTTATGGTGCCCAAAGCCTGGATTTCTACCTCTTACTGGGCTTCCCCACTAGGAAGTCATTTCGAGGACCACTGGACAGGTGGGTCATTCTAGAGCTGGCTCACAAGATTACCTCAGTTTGCTCTTTGGTAGCCAGGGAGCTTTTTGCCCTGTTATCTCTTGAATAGGAGTAGCAAACGTCAGCCTAGAGCTGAAGTAACTAATGCTGGGTAGAATGGGGCCCTTGCTAAGCGAAAAAGAAAGCTGGGAATACTTAGCAGGCAGGTTTGTCCAGGATGTGAAGGGAAATGTTAGGGCTTTGAAGGCTCAGGTATTGACCAGGCTTATGCCTTGGACTGGTCTGGGTTTCTTGATCATTAGTACTATTTTACCCCCTCTCTTTTCCTGGAAGCTTGGGCAACCATGTACTCCGCTGTTTCCAGGGCTAACAGTGAGGGAGAAAGGTCTCCTTACTTGCGGGGAAGGGGGATGCAGTAAGTTCAATAGGGATGGAACCCATAGATGGGATAGGCATACTCTTCTCAGCATGGAGGCAGCCATCCGTGCTTGAGAAAGTGGGTATTAGGGCTGCGAGGTCCGCACTTCTGAGCCCCCTATAGAAGGTGATGGGTAGACGGTAGGGACATTGGCAGGGTCCTCTGGAGCTAGGCCTTAGCTTTCCCACAGCTGTTAGGACTGCAGACTGCAGTGAGGTAGTTATGAGCATTCGCTATATATTTTGGAGAAGGAATATAGGCCTTAGATTATGCCTCAAATCTAGGAAGAGAAAAATCAATGATTTCTGAAACCAGAAACAACCCCTTTAGCTGTCACTGTCTAAAGATTCATTAGTTAACTGATGGTCGGTAACCTAGCTGTCTGCCTTAAAAAAAAACAACAGCAATCATTTAATGTTTTATTTTTTGAGAGGTGGGGGCTCTCCTCGACACTCGGGAGTTCCTGGGAGGGGCAAAATGATGAGTGAACCTGTGTTAATGAATCCCGTAAGGAACTGCGTTTCCCAGGAAATTCCTGGCATTTTTAGCTCGTGAATATCCTAAAGCCTGCTTGATTTTCTCCTCCATTCTGGGTCCTTTCAGAGAGGAAGGAGAGTGGGCTAGGGGCTGAAGGCTCGACAGGGCCTGGTTCATCTGCAGAGCTGGCCGGGAACCTAGACTGGGCTCAGCCCTAAGCAGAGTTGCCCCCCTTCCCCAAATCTCGGAAGGAGGAGGGGAGGTAGGCAGGCAGTCTTGGTCCCAAAGGGGGCTGGTGGGAGGTTTTTGGGTGAGTGTGGGGTTTCTTTTTGATTGTTGTTTGGGGGGAAGGGCATAGCTAGCTGGAACAGGCATTGCGGGCACCCCGGCCCTGGTGCGGCCGCGGTCCTCTGCTCAGCTCCCCCCCGCCGGTGAGTGCGCCCGCCCGACTGTGCGGGGCTGCGGTTGGGGGGAGGGGGGAGCGGGATCATCTGAGGCCAGAGCCGCTGCGCTGGGAGGGGGAGCGGCGGGAGCGAGGGGAGGGACCGGCTAGGTGTCTGCTGCTCCGCGCCACTGCTGCCGGCGCCCCGACCTCATCCCGGCAGCCCCTTCTGCAGCTAAGGGTTATCGCTGCACCACCTCTCCTCTTCCTCACCCGCCTCTGCGGCCAGGGCTCTGCGGTAGGAGACTGCCCGGCCTGGCGGCATGCGGGCCATTCTGGGTTTGGGTCTGGGTCTTGTTGGGGCCTGCAGGGGAGGGGTGGCCGTGACTTGGTGTCCCTCTCTGCAGCGGGCTCTGCTGCGCTGCGCAGGCCCCTGCCCCCACATCCCTTTGGGGTCACTGGAAAGCAGAGCTCAGGCCCGCTCCCTATGCTTAGTATGGCAGCTCTCTTCTCACCCCTAGTCCCCCAACTCCCCAGGCCAAGGCCGCCCAGGGTCTGGCCAACAGCGACAGCCACAGTGGTGGCGGCGGCAGCAGCTGCGACGCGGCGCGTCCTGCCCCCCCCCCCCCCCACCTCCCAGCCAGGGGTGTGGGGAGAGGGCCCGGGGTGGGCGCCGCCTGGCGGGCGGGTGCGCGGGCGGCGGGCAGACGGGGGCTGGCAGTGAGGAGGGGGCGCGGGTCACGTGCCCGGCGGGCGGGTGGGCGCGTACAGTAGGGCGCCTGCTACTGTACTGGGGAGTCAGTGCCCTGTTACCGGGTCTCGTCTGTCTCGTCTCTCCCGCAGATCTCGCGAGAGTGGCTGACTGGCTGTGGGGGTTGCGGCGGCAGCAGGCGGAGCCGGGGAGGGAAAGCAGCGGCGGCTGAGGCGACTGAGGCGGCGGCGGGCGGAGCGGCAGCCGGCGGCGGCGAGGCGGCGGAGCGCAGCATCATGGCGGACCGAGACAGCGGCAGCGAGCAGGGTGGTGCGGCGCTGGGCTCGGGCGGCTCCCTGGGGCACCCGGGCTCCGGCTCGGGCTCCGGCGGGGGCGGTGGTGGCGGCGGGGGCGGCGGCGGCAGTGGCGGCGGCGGGGCCCCGGGGGGGCTGCAGCATGAGACGCAGGAGCTGGCCTCCAAGCGGGTGGACATCCAAAACAAGCGCTTCTACCTGGACGTGAAGCAGAACGCCAAGGGCCGCTTCCTGAAGATCGCCGAGGTGGGCGCGGGCGGCAACAAGAGTCGCCTCACTCTCTCCATGTCCGTGGCCGTGGAGTTCCGCGACTACCTGGGGGACTTCATCGAGCACTACGCGCAGCTGGGCCCCAGCCAGCCGCCCGACCTGGCCCAGGCGCAGGACGAGCCGCGCCGGGCGCTCAAGAGCGAGTTCCTGGTGCGCGAGAACCGCAAGTACTACATGGATCTCAAGGAGAACCAGCGCGGCCGCTTCCTGCGCATCCGCCAGACGGTCAATCGGGGGCCCGGCCTGGGCTCCACGCAGGGCCAGACCATTGCGCTGCCCGCGCAAGGGCTCATCGAGTTCCGCGACGCTCTGGCCAAGCTCATCGACGACTACGGAGTGGAGGAGGAGCCGGCAGAGCTGCCCGAGGGCACCTCCTTGACTGTGGACAACAAGCGCTTCTTCTTCGATGTGGGCTCCAACAAGTACGGGGTGTTTATGCGAGTGAGCGAGGTGAAACCCACCTACCGCAACTCCATCACCGTGCCCTATAAGGTGTGGGCCAAGTTCGGACACACCTTCTGCAAATACTCGGAGGAGATGAAGAAGATTCAAGAGAAGCAGAGGGAGAAGCGAGCTGCCTGTGAGCAACTCCACCAGCAGCAGCAGCAGCAGCAGGAGGAAACCGCCGCTGCCACCCTGCTACTGCAGGGTGAGGAAGAAGGGGAAGAAGATTGATCAAACTGAATGAAAAAAAACCCCCACACACATGCATACACACACACACACACACACACACACAACTACACACAGAGAAAATATACTGTAAAGAAAGAGAGAAAATAAAAAGTAAAAAGTAAAAAAAAAAAACAAAAAAAAACTTAACTCCAAGGGAGCACCACCCACAGAACCTCCACCAACTGACAGTTTCTCTTCTTGACTTGCCACCCATCGCTGGATGTTGTCCACTTTATCCACCATATAAAACAGTAAGCAGCTGCTAAAAAAAAAATTACAAAAAGTAATAACATTATATGAACTGTGTTTCCTACTTGATTAAAAAATATAAAGAACTGAGTGTTTATTTCCCTAATTAACCAAGAACTTTTGTACACGTTTAAGCTATTATTATTAAAAGTGTTTGCAAAATGGTCAAGATTATAATATTGCTGAATTATATAAAAGTCCTTTTCATGTTGAGCTAACATTTGACTTTAGCACAAAAAAGAGATATTTTAGAACACGTAAAATAATATTTTTAGTTTTTCTCATTTTGTTACCAAATTTCAAACCTTACATGGAGGTTATTATAGTATATTTGACACCCTATATACCTGTGATTATAGAGATGTGTATATATATGAGGGCTAGGCATGCTGTGTGTCTGAGCTTTGTCTAAATGTTATGCAGAAGTTTGTAGAGTTAAAGGTACGTAGGTTTAATTCATGCAAGGTAAACAATAAGTGCTCTCTTTTATACAATATGCATTGCATCTGGACCTTAAACATATAAAAATGGTCAGTGAAACTTCTGTGAACATGAAGAAATTATTAAAAAAGGCATTTAAATGAAATTTGCTAAGTTGTGATTTTTACGGTTGGAACCAAAGTTATTCCAATAGTAAAAGGAAATAGAGAAAGAGAGAAAAAGGAAATCTCCCATAATATTTTTCTGCATCTGTTTGCTTTGAGTAGTCGTTTTGTCATTGTGTATATGAGATATACTTGTATTGTTCATAATATATTTTTTTTATTATGTGTAGAAAGATTTTAAAAACTAACGTGCAGCAATTTCCAGTGAACCTGTACTTGGACATCAGGTAGTAAGTCTATTTGTGGTCACTAGCACTGTCTCCTAAACTTGTAAGAGGTCTGAAGCTATCCTTTGGTTTTTGCCAGTGCTATTAACTTATGTAGACCTGTTAAAAAGCAGAGCAACACAATTATAGTTATCCTACTGAGCCATGGATTCTAAGTTTCATTTTAAAAGAGAAAGCTAAGTTAAGTTGGTGTATGTAAAGGATTTCCATGTAGCTGTGGTGCTAGTTATTACTGGCTACATTATATGCTAAGTATTTGTGTTCCCCAACTGTACAAGCCTAACAAAAGTATGTCCTATAATTCATATATTCAAGGTGTAGCATATGAAAATCGAAAGCTTAGGAGAGCACTTTACCAAGCTGGTGTCCTCCAAACTGAAATTGTTTGTAACGATAGTCTTTTACAGGTTTTCATTTAAAGATGTTTGTGTGCTTTTAATTGACAACTAACTTCTTGCTGCTGTATAGTAAAATATTAATATATTTTTATCATTAAACTGCTGCATGACTATCATCTTTGAGTGAAGATAAAATGTTATAAAAAAAAAAAAGATGCCTTAAACAGTACATTTTGGTTTGGAATTCTGTAGAAAGCATTTTGTGTTTGTGTTTGTTTTTTTTTTAAAAAGGACCTTGTCTGACAGAGAGAGTTCTGGGGATAGAATTGTTTCTTGGCCAATCCAGACATATAGATCTAACTGCTGTAAGTAGGAGACATCACCTGTAGGAGCTGGAAGGTGTCAGTGCTTCTCATATTATAAAGCATTGGCCTAGGAAGGTGAAACAGTTGTCCTTTTGAAGGATTTTTTTTTTTCTGCTGGTTCTTTGGATTTGATTTGATATTTTTAAGCTCCCTGGTTGAGTGTGTTGTCTGTTTTTGAGATCTACTGTATGTGTTGAATAACAAGCTATTTCCATTGTACTGTGCATTTTCCCATTAAATAGTTTGCTTTTACTATTCATACAATGTTAAATATGAAGTGACCGTACAATAGTTAGGAATTTCTTTACTTACAAAATCACTGGAAATAGTTAAATTGCTTTTCCCCTCTCCCCAAGGTGCATTTTCTTATTTCCACATAGTAAAGTTGAGCTTTTACAGTGCATAATGTGACATTTGGAATGCTTATCCAACTGCATGTAAACATTAATAACCTGCACTTTTTTGTCTTAAGGTTTGTTGAGCTGTTTTGTTCACTGTACTTTAACTGTGATATGGAAAAGACTGCATTATCTGTGCTGTTACTAGTTAGGAAAGAATTGCTTTGATTTTGTCTCTTGTTTACTATAGCTTCTTAAAGTTAATCCTTGTACTACAGGTTGTTGGAGTACTCCTAGATCAGTGTTTTATAGTAGCCAGCAATAAGTAGTGCAGGTCACCAAAAACACAGCAAACTTAGGCTAAGTGTCCTTTCATTTGAGATGCGAGTTCTTTCATGAGGTTTTCTTTAGGGTCTGAGTTACCTAAAGTGAAGCCTTTCTTACCTATAGACTTCAGATTCTGCTTGGAATCCTACTGGATCAAGAAGCACAGCTGTGCAGTTGTCTTTACACTATAACAGTTAAACACAATCTTACCAAGATTTTTAAACCATTGTCTGATTTATAGTCAGTGGGTTTAAAAAGAAATCCACATGCAGATCTTGTAAGACTTAAGAGATGATCATAGAAAAGACAAAGTGACTGTAAAGATGCTCTTATTTTGCATCTCACTTTACTCCACAAGCACCCTCCCAAACCCTCCCTTCTCCTCTCTCCTGTTCCATCCATTTCCCATCCCTCCCAGGTGCTCGGTACTTTACCAAGGTCTACATCTCAGTGTTTTATGTTGGAGTTTTTCCTTGTTTTTATTTTACTAATTGATAAACCTTGTTTGTGCTGAAACAAAAAAGGAAATGGTTGGTATATTTGACCATATGTGTTGTTCATAGAAGACAGTATGATCAAATGTGCCAAAAATAAGCAAACAAAACTTAATTCCTGACAATTATGCCTTATTTTTTTATGATCTGCTTTGTCTTATAATTAAGGTCCAAGAGCTTGGTTAAATTATTATTTGCCTAAGTATACAAGAAAACTTGAAATGCATTGCAATATTGATGTTCTTTAAAATGAGAGACACTGTCAAGTAATTTAATCTAGAGATCAGCCACCAGATTTGGAATGCCCATATATATGTATGTGTGTTTGGTGTTTGTTTGTTTGTTTGTTTTCTTTTAAATCACCAAATCTTTTTTTTTTTAAGCTACTTTTTATTTGTGCCTCATCTATTTGTCATGCTGATGTTAGAAGCAACAGTCATCCAGCCACAGAGGGAGCTAAAGTTAACTAACCAGAACTGTAGAAATCATTATACATGCCTTTGATAACAAAGGAAGTTTATAAGAAAAGTCATATCGGCTTTTCCTCCACTAGATACAGATTGGAGATAGATGAATATTTGCCAAATGGAAAAAACAACAATGCGAGTTAGGAAAGACAGACTTTTCCAGCTTCTTAAAAGCCATGGAGAGTAGAAACCAAAACCAAGAGGGAAAATAAAAAACCTTGAAAGTCTCACTTTCTAGTCCCATTCAGGGGTTGAAATTTGACTCAAAGTGGAAAATAAATATATCAGTATGTTTTTTAGGTCTTCACATCTGGAGATGGATAACTATTCCAATTTGATTTTTCAGGTATTGGAGAAAGCTGCTAGTAATTTAATCCCTACCTAAAGAAAACATAATTTCATTTGGGAGCAAACACTTATTGCCTTGAAAATAGCACTGTAATAGTCTATGATAATTAGTTGTAGAATAACCTTTATCCCTTTGAAGCTATGCAAATCATTAAACAAGAGTAAATTAGGACTCACTTAAAGATAGTTGATTATATTGCAATCAGATGGCATTCACAAACTTAACTGGAGGATATACAAATAAATCTATTAGTTTAAGAGTGTTGTATGCTAACAAAAATATAATTTAGCTAATACTCTAAAAATTGTGAATATTATTAATATTGTATAATAGGACTGGGAAGACTGCCTCCTTTTTTGAAGAGAGAGAGATATTAAGGATTTTTATAATTGTTTTTCATCAAATTTTAATATTTTTGTCAAAATTTTAGGTATTTAATTTGTAAAAGAGTTTGCTTTGTATTGGCATACAGAAAATAGGGTATTGATTTTAAACTTTTTGAAGCCAAGTGATCAAGTACATTTGTAATAAAAGTCAATGGATCTATATCAGTTGTACTCACTGTTTTCATTTCTTAATATAGGAATGCTGTACTTTTCCTGCAGGAAAACTGAACTAAATTTGGGTGCAAGGGAGGGGGAAAAATAAGTACATTGATAATGAGAATTTGGGTGGGTACTACTGGCCCAAGCATTTTACATAATCTTTAAGTCAGTTAAGATTTGGTATATTAAAAAAGATGCTCATGTCAATTTTTTGTTCCTTTTTTTTTTTTCTAATGGAAATTAATGTTTGTGGGGGTTATCTCATTTACTATTTTTGTGCTTTAACATTTCGCATTTATCACTGTTGAAACTTTCTAAACATATTTTTCTTTCGTGACATTTTGAGATATCTACCAACCATTGGTGACCGGATCATGGGCATGATTATTTTTATCTCCCTCAAATGTTCACCCTCTCTTCTTCATATTCCCACTCATTTTTTAATATTACTTACACACACTCTGGATGATTTTAAAATGGGGATTTCTGAAATTGTTGCTCTGGTGGCTTTCATCACTCCACAATTCATTTTATTATACATGTGAACATATTTTTAAGATTGCTAAACAGATTTTTTAATATCCCTAAAACATGAGATATCAAATCTAATGGCTTTTTCTCCATTTCAGAGTCTTTTCAATATCAGAATGAGATCCTGCTTTCTCAGTAAAAGGATGCTAAAGCCAGGAGATCTTTAGCAACTTAACTTTGGAACAATTGGTGATAATTCTGAGTATAACATAGTTGATTTTCCCTAAATTTGTATGTGTATATATACACACACTTCCCCATGAGAATGGAATGAATAGGAAAGATAATTTATTGGAATTGCTTAATTGAATAAATTAACAACTTATTTGTACAAAGTTTTCTGTTAAAATTTATCCATTTTAAAATCAGACATTGTAATATTTCTGGGGGTATTTTCCATTGCAACTTAACTGAATATAGGCCATTCAAAATGAAGTACACTATAAAAGTGACCACTGAAAACACCAAATTAGTGTTTTCATCCAGCAGCATTAATTACTATAGGGAATTTACAATATGTTTTTTAAAACAGCTGATTTTAATATATGAAGTTATTAATCCTAAAACTTAACCTAAATTCAAGGCCTAGGCCATTTGACAGGCTCTTTTTGAACATTAATTATTATGGGCTAAGTGAAGATCATCTAAACTAGCAATGGCATGAGTCAGGTAGAATTTCTTGATGCAAGAACAACCAGATGAAAAGTGAAAGATGATTGTTTCAAGCCAACGGTTTGTCATCGTTCAGCTGCCAAACTGACTACCAAGTTTTGATGTTGAATGGTCTGGGCAATTTATGCCTTTAGGAAAATTTGAGTATGGCAAAAATTATGTGTTAAAAAACATTTTTCTTAAAGAGAATTTCATAGCTACTCATTTATTTTTATTTTGTCTCCATGTTATGTTCGGTATTCATTTTCTTTTTCCTGATGTGCTGTGCTTTTGTGGGAAATTGTCTTGTTTGAAAGGTGGAAACATGGTGGTGATACTCTATGTAAAA